CTATGGAGGCATTCACCCCTCAGGCCAAATCATAGCTACTGCCTCGCATATCTGCCCTCTTGGCAAAAGCAGTTAGGACCTCATCTGTCACGGTCAACCTATTTTGAATCTATTTAATCCTCAAGGAGAAGCCAACACCCGGCCACAACGCTCGGTGGCAAACTTACCCAACAGGCCAAATCATAGGTAGAGCCTCTTATTGCCACTTGCCAACTAGTTAGGTTCCTAAGTCACCAATCTAGCTTAATTGTGTCACCACATGGCATAACATAGGTCAGCCAGTATCTTGGTGTTATACAGTATCTCCCAGTAACAAATTTTCGCTTTCAGGAATGCTTATAAATGCTGATAAAATGTAAAGTATTGATTGCGTAATGTCGACATGTATTAAAGTGTTAAGCTATTAACTTTTTGCCCTTTTTTTACAGGCCTACCCGAAGATAGGTTTCGGCACACCAAAACCGACTTAGGCACAACTAACATAACTCTGCTTATTGTCCCCGACCACAAATGAAAGGCTGTGCCTGTAGTTGTGGGAGGGGTTATTTCGCCTATAAATACACAGGCGGCTTCTTCCTCTGGGCTGAGACTGTCTGGTTCAGCCCACCCACCACTCCCTTTATCAAGCCATTTAAATTGGTGGGCCCTGCACTCACATATGTAGTATAAGTGCCATGGTGCTCTTTCAGCTAAATCAACATAAATCTACATGAAGGAAGGCACGCGCTGGGCTTTTGAAGATAATTATTCGTCTTTATGAATAACACATGGGTTACAGCAAATCGGCGTTTCAGACCATCATAGGACTTTCATCAGGATAAACCCATAACTCCAAAAACAAACTTTAAATAGCAAAAAAGTGCGGGAAACTTGTAAAGGTGAAGTACCCACCCCCTAGACAAAGGTAATACCTGTGAGCAAAGATATAGACCAGGGGTAGGCAACCTACGGCACTAGTGCCATGCCTGGCACTCAATGTGTCTTTGCACGGCACTCTGGCCTATCAGGAGTCCCAGTAAAACTTCAGATATCTGCTAATACGAAGAGGTGGTGGAGGACAATCCTCAATTTATGCATTGCAGCACATAGAGGAAGTGATCCCAGCTCTGTAGTAGAGCAGCCCTTGACCGCTATCACAGCTCCTGTCCTTGACCTGTACCTGGCCAGCCTGGTCCCCACTGGAACCCAGGGAACCCACCCACACTGCTAGATATACACGGAGCTGCAGAATAACCCTCCCCTCATACAAATAATATGAACAGCCCACACACACACAGAACCCACAATCCATTTAATAAATCTTTGGTCCATTTAATAAATCTTCTAAATCCTATTTACCTAAAGGCACTTATAGATGCGGTCACTGTAGTGCCTGTCAGTACATAGGTAAAGAAACAAAGATTTTTTTCGACAGTTTGAATCTTGACTCTCATTCTGTACAGTCTTTCTTCAATTGCCGTACAGAGGGAGTCATCTACCTTTTGACATGTTCTTGTGGCATGAAGTATGTCGGAAAAACATTCCGACCTTTTAAGTTCCGCATTAGAGAACACGTCAACTCAGTCAGAAGCAAACTGGAAACTCCCATCTCAAGGCACCTCAAGACTTGTCATGCAAATTCATCCAGTAGGATACGCTTTATGGGCATAGAACTCATAACCCAAACACAACGTAAAGGGGATTGGGATCGTAGGCTCAAACAAAGAGAATCCTACTGGATATATAAATTGAAAACATTGTCACCACAGGGATTGAATGAAGGTTTTTCATTCTCATCATTTTTGTAGACTGATAGGTATTTCCACCAACAGTTTCTATACAACCATCTGATCTACCTTATAATAATCATTTGCTGTCTGTAAATATGTAAATAAGTCAATAATAAAAATTCTCTTTTTCTCTTTCTCTTTTGCATTAGTCACATGGTTCCTAATAGGTTTCATACCTTATTATATTACATAGCTGCCTTAAATGGTGGTGAATTTCTTTTGAGATTAACCAGTAGTCACAGTCAATCCTGATTTGAAACGCTGTTTCATTATTTGTAAAGTATAAAGAATATATAACCCTCTGCAGTGTAAACCTAACTTAAGCCTTATACTTAATTGCCATTATTAATAAATATGAATCCCAGTGGAAGCATTATACAGCAGGGTGCCATATTTTAATGTCCTGGCAAATTTACGTGTATATGTCCAGGTATATAGAGGATAATTAATTAATTACTTTTTACAACTTAATTCTTTTTGACTGTTATTATAATTTTTTGGGGTCACCAAGTTACAAGAGCTGTATTATATGCCTTTAATGCTTTTATGCATCTGGAGGCATTTTATATATCAATATTTGGCATAATGACTGACTGTGTGATCTGTCAGCCAGTTTCATGCCAGAGGTGCAGTTAGAGGGAGCCCCTTCCCTGTGCTACATTTTGATACTTCTCATTGATATCATATATATTGGCTAGTTAGGTTTATGTCAGTTTTGTTATCAGGAGGAGGGATGCTTGATTTTGCACCCTCCTCCTGTATTGATTGACTGATAGATCTTCCAATGGTTATCCCCATGTGAGCAGCAGGGTTTGTATAGGTGTGCTCTGATTATGCATAAGTCCCTTCCCCACCTCTCAGTGATTGACTTTGTTATCCTCCAATGAGACTCTAGCTTAAGCAATGACAGGGTTGAGGAGGAGTGGTGACTCCATGTCAATCACCCACCCCTCCCACATGCTGGATCAGCTGGATGGACTTTTCTCTGATTGCTTAGGTATTTAACCGGTTTCAATAGGAACTGCATTTGCAATAGCTCCTGACGACGGCGTGTATGCACGCTGAAACGCGCGTCGAGCGCCTTATTTGACTTTACTTTTTTTTTCTCACATTAGGTAGCACTTAGGTAGTTAGTATGTTTGATTTAGTTAGTTAGTATAGTTAGCAATTTATTATTTGGCATTTAGAGTTTTTCTAGGCAGGCATTTTTTGGTCCTGGGGGCTCTCCTCTGGACTTAGGGCTTGTCCTTAGTGGGTCTGCCCCTGTCCTCCTTTGCTCTCTTTTCTCCTATGCATGTTTGTATAGGCTCCTGTTTGCTTGCCTTTATATTAGTGGGGTGATTTATGTATTACACATATTTTGTGTTGCCTTATTGTATTTTTGCAGCTTAGGTGTCCTTATTTTGGACATTTTATCTAGTATAAATGCTAGAGTCTCCCTTTTTCATATAGTGAAGTATTTTCGCTACATAGATAATTTGGACATTATATGGTCTGGTATGCATGCAGAGGCGTCTGCCATGGTGGAAGAGCTCAATAAATTATCTACACCAGTTAGATTAACAGCAGACATCAGTCATCAGAGTGTTCACTATTTGTATTTGGAATTAAAAGTGGGAGGAAATGAACCAAAAATTTCTCAATCGTGGTTATAAAAGCAACATCCTTGAGCGAGTATTAAAAGAAGCTAGAGAAATTGAGAATTTTTGGTTCATTTACTCTAATTGTCTTTCCATCACATCTGTATTCGAGTTATTCCTGATAACACAAAGAAATTGTGCTTTAGGGAGGGAATTTTTGAGTGCATGGCGGTGTGCACCCTGGGCATGTCGTAGCATTTTGCGGTCAGTAGATTTGGAATATAAGGAATATTCGATTTGATGTTTTCCCTCTTTTAATTCCAAATACAAAAAGTGGACACTCTGATGACTGATGTCCGCTGTTAATCTAACTGGTGTAGAAGCACATGCACCTCGGAAAGCTGATGCTCCACAGAGAATGTTTTTTCCCACGATTTTTCATCACCGTTCAACTTGTTCCAGCGGCCGGGGCCTTCCAAGATGGCCACCCAGGTGGAAGGTGAGGCCTGCACACCACCGCCCAGACAAACAGCAGAGGAGCTGAACTCTGTACCCCTAGAATGGCTGCAAGCACCCGCAGGAACTCCTGAAGAGGACCCTAATACACCCTCCACAAAACAAGACATAGCAAACCTGCTGCAGAACATCAAGCAGCTGTTTGCAGAAGATCTCGACCTGGTGAAGGTAGAAGTGCAAGCAGTGACAGCCAGAACCCAGGCCCCGGAGGAGGCTATAATTGACTTGCGCCAAGAAGTCTCCACTATCAAAGAAGCAATGCAACAAATGCATAAAACCCAAACCTCCTTAGCCCTGAGAGCTGACACTCTTGCTGACAGTAGTCGCAGAGCCAATATAAAGATAAGAGGCATCCCAGACGCAGTCCTAGCTGACGAGCTGCCACACTATCTGCGACGCCTGGTGGCCTCACTGATACCGGCAACACAAGCCAAGAAGATAGTCTTTGACAGCTGCTTTCATATCACAAAATCTCCAAAAGCTCCTGCGACGGCTCCACGAGACGTGACAGCCAGGTGCGAACGCTTCTTGATAAAGGCCGCATCTGGGCGGCATTAAGAGGGAAAACACCCTATACCTTCGAATCATCTGCACTCTCCTTCTACCAGGACCTGCAATGGTCCACCCTTCAATGGCGACGTTCCATGAGCCCTGTAACCGGCCAAATACGCGCCGCAGGGATCTCTTACAGATGGTCGACGCCGAGATCCCTATGTGTGGAGCAGAACGGAGCAACATACCAGCTATCCTCGCCAGCAGAGGCCCCTGCATTGTTCCAAGCTCTGGACATTCCAAATGCACAAACCAATCTGCCTGCTTCCCGCAGACAACAGGACTGGGACCCAGACCACATATCTCCATTTGTGCCAAGGAATGGTGATAGACCGAACCCAGTAACCTAAACTTCGACAAAGAGCAGATGACCAACATTATACATTTATTTGCATTTTTATCTTTTAATTTTAATTTTTATTATTTTTACTGTAATATTTCTCTCTAGTGCCCTATACGGAATATCTCATATGAAAGAGCTATGTTTAACTCCATTGTTTTCCTTAATTGCTGTCTCACCTATACGTTAACCAGCTGGCAACCACACATCACACGAGAGTAATAGGAGAGCGCTCACTTATATCACAGAGAGCACTAAGCGTAGAAAAATCCCACCACCCCTACCCGGGAGCCCCTAGACTGGGAGTCATCCATCCAGGAAAAGCAGACCCCACACCAACACATAGCTGTATGAGAGGCTAACCCGATACACCGAGCGGGAGCACACGCTCCAAACCCACACCCCCTCGACTGACAAAGGTCCCTAAGACCAACACACATATAAGGACCCCAACAAAAGACACCATAAGCTAGACGCAGTGGCGTACACATGACCCATGGGGCTCCGGTGCGAAAATTGATCTGTGGGCCCCCCCCTTCGAGCTTACTCTGCGCGGGCCGGGGCCGCAACACATGGCGGCGGGCACCTGGTCGCAGGGCTGTGACCCTTGCAACCACGGTATGTACGCCAGTGCATGCAGATGCACACACACTTAAAGGACCATTACAGACACCAAGATCACATCAGCTCAATGAAGTGGTCTGGGTGCCAGGTCCCTCTACTTTTAACCCGGCAGCTGAAAACATAGCAGTTTCAGAGAAACTGCTATGTTTCACTCAGGGTTAATCCAGCCTCTAGTGACTGTCTCATTAATATCACTAGAGGAGCTTCCGTGATTCTAAGACACTGAACGTCCATAGGAAAGCATTGAGTAATGCGTTCCTATGGGTGGTTTGAATGCACGCACGGCTCTTGCCGCCCATGCGCATTCGGAGCTGAGAGGCGGAGGGATCCCCAGCGCCAAGGGAGTCCGGCGCTGGAGAAAGGTAAGTGCTGAAGACACACACACACACTCTCATGAATAGACGCATACACACTAGCTAACAGTAAAAACGAAGAAAGGCTGCGCCAAGGGGAGTAGATGAGTATTACACAAATAAAATTTTATGTGATTAAAAATGTAATATAAATAAAGTGTCCCAATATCTATCTTTAGTTGTTGTCTCAACTCGTGTAATGTCTTCTCTGTTGGAACTAGTCCGTCTCACGATATGAAAGACACAATGGGAAAAGACCAATCGTGCAGAGTGTATAAATAAATATCCATGAAATTAAAATATAAATTCCACACTCACATTTCCATGAGCTAAGGCCAACTCTAGTGTAACGGGCATACAGCGGATAACCCTCCGCTTGTAGGGGTGCTTGTCCTCCTGGAGAGTGCTGGTGTCCAGTTCTCAAAGGAAAATAGATAAAAACAGCCAATAATGCTCTCTGGTGACGTAATTTAAAAATAAGTTAAAATAAAATAAAATGTACTCACAAGTGGAGTGCAGGCCTTTCTGCACTCTAATGATAGCGTGGGTGGGATGATCCCCACCTTAGCATATGTAGAATGCCAGGAAAGGTAAATAGAAATAAAATAGTATAAAAAAGTAATAATATGAAATAATTTATTAATAATACAATATATTAAAACCAATAACGCGTTTCGCTACAATGGCTTTATCAAACTGGAATAATATTAATACCTGGCACATAAGGAGTATATATAGCTAGTACACAAATTCAAAATTGGCACCACAAAAAGTCCACCAATCAGGGCTATTCAAAATGTAAATTGAGAATACAATGAACAAAAGATAAAAAATGATATATAACATAAATGGGTTAAGATATAAATATGTATTTGTGTTGACATACTTTAAAAACAAGGATGGCATAATAGAGGATAAGGAAAAATTAAATGATTTAGTCGTGCCACGTGACCCGCAATGCACACTGGGAGCTGTAGTACCCGGGCCACGTGACCGCCCACTATACTCCCATGAGAGACAGGTCCGTGCGGCCGTCCCATGGAGAGGGCGGCACGCACGGATGGCAGGGTGGACTACATCAGGCGACCCGCGGCGTCACATCAAAGTACTATCCGCGGGTCACGTTACCGGAGCCGCAGGCATCATGGGAAATGGAGTTTTATGAAAAGAATCTGCAAAACAGAATATATTTAGAACACTAGCTAACAGACACACATAGTTACATAGTTACATAGTTACATAGCTGAAAAGAGACTTGCGTCCATCAAGTTCAGCCTACCTCACATTTGCTTTTTGCTGTTGATCCAAAAGAAGGCAAAAAAAACCCGTTTGAAGCACAATTTTGCAACAAGCTAGGAAAAAAATTCCTTCTTGACCCCAGAATGGCAGTCAGATTTATCCTTGGATCAAGCAGTTATTACCCTACATTGAAAGATTATATCCTTGAATATTCTGTTCTTGCAAGTATGCATTTAGTAGCCGTTTGAACATCTGTATGAACTCTGATAAAACCACTTCCTCAGGCAGAGAATTCCACATCCTGATTGTTCTTACAGTAAAAAAACCTTTCCTTTGCCTTAGACGAGATCTTCTTTCCTCCAGTCTAAACTCATGGCCTCGTGTCCTATGCAAAGTCCGGTTTGTGAATAGATTTCCACACAATGGTTTGTATTGGCCCCGAATATATTTGTATAATGTTATCATATCCCCTCTCAGGCGACGTTTTTCTAAACTAAATAGGTTTAAATTTGTTAACCTTTCTTCATAGCCGATATGTTCCATTCCTTTTACAGGGAGTGCAGAATTATTAGGCAAGTTGTATTTTTGAGGATTAATTTTATTATTGAATAACAACCATGTTCTCAATGAACCCAAAAAACTCATTAATATCAAAGCTGAATATTTTTGGAAGTAGTTTTTAGTTTGTTTTTAGTTTTAGCTATGTTAGGGGATATCTGTGTGTGCAGGTGACTATTACTGTGCATAATTATTAGGCAACTTAACAAAAAACAAATATATACCCATTTCAATTATTTATTATTACCAGTGAAGCCAATATAACATCTCAACATTCACAAATATACATTTCTGACATTCAAAAACAAAACAAAAACAAATCAGTGACCAATATAGCCACCTTTCTTTGCAAGGACACTCAAAAGCCTGCCATCCATGGATTCTGTCAGTGTTTTGATCTGTTCACCATCAACATTGCGTGCAGCAGCAACCACAGCCTCCCAGACACTGTTCAGAGAGGTGTACTGTTTTCCTCCTTGTAAATCTCACATTTGATGATGGACCACAGGTTCTCAATGGGGTTCAGATCAGGTGAACAAGGAGGCCATGTCATTAGATTTTCTTCTTTTATACCCTTTCTTGCCAGCCACGCTGTGGAGTACTTGGACGCGTGTGATGGAGCATTGTCCTGCATGAAAATCATGTTTTTCTTGAAGGATGCAGACTTCTTCCTGTACCACTGCTTGAAGAAGGTGTCTTCCAGGAACTGGCAGTAGGACTGGGAGTTGAGCTTGACTCCATCCTCAACCCGAAAAGGCCCCACAAGCTCATCTTTGATGATACCAGCCCAAACCAGTACTCCACCTCCACCTTGCTGGCATCTGAGTCGGACTGGAGCTCTCTGCCCTTTACCAATCCAGCCACGGGCCCATCCATCTGGCCCATCAAGACTCACTCTCATTTCATCAGTCCATAAAACCTTAGAAAAATCAGTCTTGAGATATTTCTTGGCCCAGTCTTGACGTTTCAGCTTGTGTGTCTTGTTCAGTGGTGGTCGTCTTTCAGCCTTTCTTACCTTGGCCATGTCTCTGAGTATTGCACACCTTGTGCTTTTGGGCACTCCAGTGATGTTGCAGCTCTGAAATATGGCCAAACTGGTGGCAAGTGGCATCGTGGCAGCTGCACGCTTGACTTTTCTCAGTTCATGGGCAGTTATTTTGCGCCTTGGTTTTTCCACACGCTTCTTGCGACCCTGTTGACTATTTTGAATGAAACGCTTGATTGTTCGATGATCACGCTTCAGAAGCTTTGCAATTTTAAGAGTGCTGCATCCCTCTGCAAGATATCTCACTATTTTTGACTTTTCTGAGCCTGTCAAGTCCTTCTTTTGACCCATTTTGCCAAAGGAAAGGAAGTTGCCTAATAATTATGCACACCTGATATAGGGTGTTGATGTCATTAGACCACACCCCTTCTCATTACAGAGATGCACATCACCTAATATGCTTAATTGGTAGTAGGCTTTCGAGCCTATACAGCTTGGAGTAAGACAACATGCATAAAGAGGATGATGGGGTCAAAATACTCATTTGCCTAATAATTCTGCACTCCCTGTATTAATTTTGTAGCCCGCCTCTGCACTTTTTCTAGTGCCATAATATCCTTCTTTAGCACAGGTGCCCAAAATTGCACAGCATATTCAATATGGGGTCTTACCAGTGATTTATAAAGAGGCAAAATTATATTCTTGTCCCGAGAATGAATGCCCTTTTTCATGCATGACAATACCTTACTGGCCTTGGCCACTGCTGATTGACATTGCACATTGTTGCATAGTTTGTTGTCTATAACAATTCCCAAGTCCTTTTCATGTGTTGTTATCCCTAATTCGCTTCCATTAAGGGTATACGTTGCTTGTGTATTCTTTACGCCGAAGTGCATAACTTTGCATTTTTCAACATTAAATTTCATCTGCCATTTGAGTGCCCAGTCCCCCAGTCTATCTAAATCCCTCTGCAGCAAAGTAATATCTTGCTCACATTGTATTATTTACAGAGTTTTGTGTCATCTGCAAACACTGAAACATGACTTTCAATGCTGTCTTCAAGATCATTTATAAACATGTTAAATAGAAGGGGTCCCAGAACAGACCCCTGAGGGACACCACTTGCCACCTCTGTCCAGCTTGAAAATTTACCATTAATGACAACTCTTTGTACTCTGTTTTTAAGCCAATGTTCTACCCAAGAACAAGCATTTTCATCTAGACCGATTTCCTTGAGTTTGAACACCAATCTATTGTGTGGAACTGTATCAAATGCCTTGGCAAAATCCAAATAGATCACATCCACAGCAACACCCTGATCTATACTTCTACTTACTTCTTCGTAGAACGCAATCAAGTTAGTTTGACATGACCTGTGCTTCATAAAACCGTGCTGATTTTTGCTGATAACCATGTTCTTCTCAAGGAATTCTTGAATATTATCCCCTAATAACCTTTCAAATATTTTACCAGCCACAGAAGTTAAGCTCACAGGTCTATAATTTCCAGGCAAGGATTTTGAACCCTTTTTGAATATAGGAATCACATCTGCCTTCCTCCAATCCTCCGGAACACTTCCTGAAAGAAAAGAATCTTGAAAGATTAAAAACAGAGGTTCACTTATTTCTGCACTTAGTTCCTTAAGTACACGTGGATGGATACCGTCAGGCCCTGGAGCTTTGTTTATATTAACTTTCTTTAGTTGCTGCAGCACCTTGTCTTGAGTTAACCAATTACAATTATTCTGCAAGTTTTTAGTAGCAATCATTTGCACATCTATTGCCATGGGTTCTTCCTTAATATATACGGAGGAGAAATAGTTATTTAAAATTCCTGCCTTTTCCTGGTCTTCATTAATTAACACCCCCGTTTCAGTTTTTAGTGTACCTACACTTTCATTTTGTTTTTTTTTAGAATTTATGTACTTAAAAAATGCTTTGGGGTTGGTTTTGCTCTCTTCAGCTATCATTATTTCATTTTGCAGTTTAGCAAGTCTAATTGCCTTTTTGCACGCATTATTTGCATCCTTATATCTTTTATAAGATGCATCTGATTTGTCCGATTTAAATGCTTTAAATGCCCTTCTCTTAGTTGTAATCTCTTGTTTTACTTCTCTACTAAGCCACATTGGTTTTAATTTGTTTCTTTTATATTTATTTCCCAATGGTACATACTGAGAAATGTACCTTTTTAATATTTGTTGGAAGATGATCCATTTATCCTCAGTGTTCTTTTCACTAAAGAGTTTATGCCAGTCAATATATTGTAAAGCTTCCCTTAACTTATTGAAATTGGCCTTTTTAAAATTATATGTTTTAGTATTCCCCATGTGCTTTTGTTTTTTTGAGTTTATTTCAAAGGACACTATATTGTGATCACTATTTCCCAAGTGCTCACCTACTTGAATGTTGGTCAAAAGATCAACGTTGTTTGTTAAAACCAGGTCCAGACAAGCATCCATTCTAGTTGGTGCTTGCACAAGTTGTGACATGAAGGTGTCATTTAACAAGTTTAAAAACCTAATTCCCTTTGCTGAGGCACTAGTCCCTCTGTCCCAATTTATATCCGGGTAATTAAAATCTCCAATAATTAAAGTGTTACCCAGATTTGCAGCTTTCTCAATTTGCTCAAACAGCTGTTGTTCCTCGTCAATATTAACATTAGGTGGTTTATAACATATCCCAACCAATAGTTGGTTTCCCTTCTTTTCCCCCAAGCAGATATTTACCCATAAAGCTTCCACATTATCCTCCTCGCATTCCATTTGCTTAACATTTGGCTTTAAATCATGTTTGACATACAAACATACCCCACCACCCTTCTTGTTTTTCCTATCCTTCCTAAATAACATGTACCCATTTAAGTTAGCTGCCCAGTCATGTGTCTCATCCCACCATGTTTCAGTTATGCCTATTATATCATATTGTTTAGTGTATGCTAATGCCTCTAGTTCCCCCATTTTGTTATTTAGGCTCCTTGCATTAGTAAGCATACATTTAATATTATGCGTCACTTGTATATTTTGTGAATTTTCAACATTACACAGCTTCTCTGTTCTGAGCTTGCCCCTCCCCCCGTTTCCACCCCCCTTATACTGTGCTAAAGCCCATCTCATTTCTGTCGTATCTCCATTTTGTAGATTGCTATGACCCTCCCCCCCTACTACTAGTTTAAAATCTCCTCCAACCTTCTAGCCATCCTATCCCCAAGCACTGCAGACCCTCTCCCGTTTAGGTGCAATCCATCACCACTATAAAGGTTGTACCAAATCGCAAAGTCGGCCCAGTGCTCTAAAAACCCAAAACCCTCCTTCCTACACCAAGACTTAAGCCACGCATTGACCTCTCTAATCTCCCGCTGCCTTTCCACTGTAGCGCGTGGCACAGGTAATATCTCAGAGAATACCACCTTGGAGGTCCTTTTCTTAAGTTTCACACACATTTACTGACAGACACACTCAACGACAGACATACATACACACTCACAAAACATTCACTCTGACTGACAAACACACACTAACATACATCAAACAGACTCACTAACAGACACACACAAACACACTCAGTAACAGACACACAGTAACACACTCACTAGCAGACACACATTCAATAACAGACACACACTCTAACACTAACACACACACAGGGGCGGACTGACCACTCGGGCACTTAGGTCATGGACCGAGGGCCCGAGGTAGTCAGGGGCCCGGCCGCACAGCCATGCTCCAGCTGGAGAGATCAGAGATCTCTCCAACTGGAACGGCAAAAAAATAAAGCTTTTTGATAGGTTGTGGGGCCCCTGATGCAGCGCGGGGCCCCACAACCTACCGCTCTCTAAATCCACCCCTCCTTCCTCCCACCATGAGGCCTGGCAGCTTCACCAGCTCTCTGCCAGGTCTCCTTCTCCTTGTCCAACGCGGTGCTCTGTGTGATGGGAGAGGCGGGGCTAGGAAGTGACCTCACTTCATGTTTACTCCTCTCACACAGAGCCCAGCGAGGGGAAGGAGCAGCAGCCTGGGAGAGAAGAGGAAGCACTAGTCACCCCCCCTTCACTGTCACTAATCACCCCCCCTCACTGTCACTAGTCACCCCCCCTCACTGTCACTAGTCACCCCCCGTCACTGTCACTAGTCACCCCCCTCACTGTCACTAGTCACCCCCTTCACTGTGTCACTAGTCACCCCTCCTCACTGTGTCACTAGTCACCCCCCCACTGTGTCACTAGTAACCCCCTCCCTCACTCTGTCACTAGTCACCCCCCCACTGTGTCACTAGTAACCCCCTCCCTCACTCTGTCACTAGTCACCCCTTCTCTCGCTCACTCTGTTACTAGTCACCGTGTCCCTCACTCTGTCACTAGTCACCCCCTCCCTCACTCTGTCACCCTCTCCCTCACTCTGTCACTAGTCACCCTGTCCCTCACTCTGTCACTAGTCACCCTCTCCCTCACTCTGTCACTAGTCACCCTCTCCCTCACTCTGTCACTAGTCACACCCTCCCTCACTCTGTCACTAGTCACCCTCTCCCTCACTCTGTCACTAGAGTGAGTGGGTGACTAGTGACAGAGTGAGGGAGGGGATGACCAGTGACAGAGTGAGGAAGGGGGTGACACAGTGATAGAGTGAGGGAGGGGGTGACTAGTGACAGAGTAAAGGAGGTGGTGACTGTCACTAGTCACCCCATCCCTCCCTGTGTCACTAATCACCACCTCCCTCACTCTGTCACTAGTCACCCCTTCCCTCTCTCTGTCACTAGTCACCCCCTCCCTCTCTCTGTCACTAGTCACACCCTCCCTCACTCTGTCACTAGTCACCCACTCACTCTAGTGACAGAGTGAGGGAGAGGGTGACTAGTGACAGAGTGAGGGAGGGGGTGACTAGTGACAGAGTGAGGGAGGGGGTGACTAGTGACAGAGTGAGGGAGAGGGTGACAGAGTGAGCTAGGGGGTGACTAGTGACTGAGTGAGGGACAGGGTGACTAGTGACAGAGTAAGGGAGGGGATGACTAGTGACATAGGGAGGGATGGGGTGACACAGTGACAGAGGGAGGGGGTGACTAGTGACAGAGTGCGGGAGTGGGTGACTAGTGACAGAGTGAGGGGATGACTAGTGACAGAGTTAGGGATGGGGTGACTAGTGACAGTCACCATCTCCCTCCCTCTGTCACTAGTCACCATCTCCCTCCCTGTGTCACTAGTCACCATCTCCCTCCCTCTGTCACTAGTCACCATCTCCCTCCCTCTGTCACTAGTCACACCCTCCCTCACAGGTAACCCCCCCGTCACTAGTCACCTCTCCCTCACTCTGTCACTAGTCACCCATTCCCTCCTTCACTCTGTCACTAATCACTCCCTCCCTCTGTCACTAGTCACCCTCTCCCTCACTCTGTCACTAGTCACACCCTCCCTCACTCTGTCACTAGTCACACCCTCCCTCACTCTGTCACTAGAGTGAGGGAATGACTAGTGACAGAGTGAGGGAAGGGGTGACTAGTGGCAGAGTGAGGGAAGGAAGGGATGACTGGTGACAGAGTGAGCGGATGACTGGTGACAGAGTGAGGGAGGGGGTGACTAGTGACAGAGTGAGGGAGGGGGTGACTAGTGACAGAGTGAGGGAGAGGGTGACAGAGTGAGCTAGGGGTGACTAGTGACTGAGTGAGGGACGGGGTGACTAGTGACAGAGTAAGGGAGGGGATGACTAGTGACATAGGGAGGGATGGGGTGACACAGTGACAGAGGGAGGGGGTGACTAGTGACAGAGTGAGGGGATGACTTGTGACTAGTGACAGAGGGAGGGATGGGGTGACTAGTGACAGTCACCACCTCCCTCACTCTGTCACTAGTCACCCTCTCCCTCACTCTGTCACTAATTACTCCCTCACTCTGTCACTAGTCACCCTCTCCCTCACTCTGTCACTAGTCACACCCTCCCTCACTCTGTCACTAGAGTGAGGGAATGACTGGTGACAGAGTGAGGGAAGGGGTGACTAGTGGCAGAGTGAGGGAAGGAAGGGATGACTGGTGACAGAGTGAGCGGATGACTGGTGACAGAGTGAGCGGATGACTGGTGACAGAGTGAGTTAGGGGGATGACTAGTGACAGAGTGAGTTAGGGGGTGACTAGTGACAGAGTAACGGACAGAGGGGGTGACTAGTGACAGAAGGAGGGAGGGAGTAGTGACAGAGGGAGGTGGTGACTAGTGACAGAGTGAGAGAGGGAGGTGGTGACTAGTGACAGAGTGAGGGAGGGAGTGGGTGACCCGTGACAGAGGGAGGGAGGGGTGACCAGTGACAGAGGGAGGGGGTGACACAGTGAGGGAGGGGGTGACTAGTGACAGAGTGAGGGAGGTGGTGACTGTCACTAGTCCCCAGTCACTCTGTCCCCAGTCACCCCTCCCTCTGTCACTAGTCACCCCCTTCCTCACTCTGTCACTAGTCACCCCTTCCCTCCCTAACTCTGTCACTAGTCACCCCCTCCCTCACTCTATCACTAGAGTGAGGTGGTGACTAGTGGCAGAGTGAGGGAGGTGGTGACTGTCACTAGTCACCACCTCCCTCACTCTGTCACTAGTCACCACCTCCCTCACTCTGTCACTACTCCCTCCCTCCTTCTGTCACTAGTCACCCCCTCCGTCCCTTACTCTGTGACTTACTCTAGTGACAGTCACCACCTCCCTCACTCTGTCACTAGTCACCCCTTCCTTTCCTCACTCTGCTACTAGTCACCCCTTCCCTCACTCTGTCACTAGTCACCCCCTCACTCTAGTGACAGAGTGAGGGAGGCGGTGACTAGTGACAGAGTGAGGGAGGGAAGTGGTGACTAGTGACAGAGTGAGGAAGGGGGTGACTAGTGACAGAGGGAGGGGTGACTAGGGACAGAGTGAGGGAGGGGGTGACTAGTGACAGTCACCACCTCCCTCACTGTCACTAGTCACCCCCTCCCTCACTCTGTCACCAGTCATCCCCTCACTCTGTCACTAGTCACCCCTTCCTTCCCTCACTCTGCCACTAGTCACCCCTTCCCTCACTCTGTCACCTGTCACCCCCTCACTCTAGTGACAGAGTGAGGGAGGGTGTGACTAGTGACACAGAGAGGGAGGGGGTGACTAGTGACAGTGAGGAAGGGGGTGACTAGTGACAGAGGGAGGAGTGACTAGGGACAAAGTGAGGGAGGTGGTGACTAGTGACAGTCACCACCTCCCTCACTCTGCCACTAGTCACCCCTTCCCTTACTCTGTCACCTGTCACCCCCTCACTCTAGTGATAGAGTAAGGGACGGTGTGACTAGTGACAGAGTGAGGGACGGTGTGACTAGTGACAGAGAGAGGGAGGGGGTGACTAGTGACAGAGTAAGGGACGGAGGGGGTGACTAGTGACAGAAGGAGGGAGGGAGTAGTGACAGAGTGAGGGAGGTGGTGACTAGTGACAGTCACCACCTCCCTCACTCTGCCACTAGTCACCACCTCACTCTAGTGATAGAGTGAGGGAGGGGGTGACTAGTGACAGAGTTAGGGAGGGAAGGGGTGACTAGTGACAGAGTGAGGAAGGGGGTGACTAGTGACATAGGGAGGGGTGACTAGGGACAGAGTGAGGGAGGTGGTGACTAGTGACAGTCACCACCTCCCTCACTCTGTCACTAGTCACCCCCTCCCTCACTGTGTCACCACCTCCCTCTGTCACTGGTCACCCCTCCCTCCCTCTGTCACTGGTCACCCACTCCCTCCCTCACTTTGTCACCAGTCATCCCCTCATTCTGTCACTAGTAACCCCTTCCTTACCTCACTCTGCCACTAGTCACCCCCTCACTCTGCCACTAGTCACCCCCTCACTCTAGTGACAGAGTGAGGGAGGGTGTGACTAGTGACAGTGAGGAAGGGTGTGACTAGTGACAGAGTGAGGGAGGGTGTGACTAGTGACAGAGAGAGGGAGGGGGTGACTAGTGACAGAGAGAGGGAGGGAAGGGGTGACTAGTGACAGAGTGAGGGAGGTGGTGATTAGTGACAGAGGGAGGGATGGGGTGACTAGTGACAGTCACCACCTCCTTCACTCTGTCACTAGTCACCCCCTCCCTCACTCTGTCACTGTGTCACCCCCTTCCTCACTGTGTCACCCCCTTCCTCACTCTCACTAGTCACCCACTCCCTCCCTCACTCTGTCACTAGTCACCCCCTCTCTCACTCTGTCACTAGTCACCCCCTCTCTCACTCTGTCACCAGTCATTCCCTCACTCTGTCACCAGTCATCCCTTCCTTCCCTCACTCTGCCACTAGTCATCCCTTCCCTCACTCTGTCACCAGGCATCCCCTCACTCTGTCACCAGTCACCCCTTCCTTCCTTCACAGTGACAGAGTTAGGGATGGGGTGACTAGTGACAGAGAGAGGGATGGGGTGACTAGTGACAGAGAGAGGGATGGGGTGACTAGTGACAGAGAGAGGGAGCGGGTGACACAGTGACAGAGTGAGGGAGTGGGTGACACAGTGACAGAGTTAGGGAGGGAGTGACTAGTGACAGAGAGAGGGATGGGGTGACTAGTGACAGTCACCCCCTCCCTCACTCTGTCACTAGTCACTACCTCCCTCCATCACTAGTCACTCCCTCCCTCTGTCACTAGTCACTTCCTCCCTCTGTCACCAGTCATCCCCTCACTCTGTCACCAGTCATCCCCTCACTCTGTCACTAGTCACCTCTTCCCTCCCTCACTTTGCCACTAGTCATCTCTTCCCTCCCTCCCCCACTCTGCCACTAGTCACCCATTCCCTAACTCTGTCACTAGTCACCCCCTCTCCCTCCCTCTGTCACCAGTCACCCCCACTCACTGTGTCTCCCCCTCACTCTGCCACCACTCAACCCCTCCTTCCCTCACTCTACCACCAGGTACCCCCTCACTCTGCCACCAGTCACAACCTCCGACACTATTCCACCTGTCACCTTCTCCCTCATACACTCTGTCACCTGTCACATATGCATTCACACAGACACTATAAACAAAAAAGCACATCCTGTCATCCAGACATGCACAAGTGCATTCACACAGACTCAAATACAAACATGCATTGATACACAGATCTTCACAATATACACATCCAAACGAATGCCGTATTATTAGTTATATCTAACATTTATTTAATGCACGTATATTTGGCCTTCAAAGGGCCTGGGATCTAATTTTGCCCGGGGTCCCCAAAGGCTCTCAGTCCGCCCCTGCACACACACATACACCAACACACACACTAACACACGTACCCACGTGTTTTTTTTTTAAATGTAATCCACCAGCCTCCTTACCTTTTGGAGTGCTGAGGGGATTCCCTGGGGTCCAGTGGTGCTGCTGGGCTCCTGGGCGGCTGGTCACTGGGCGCATGCGCGGGAGCACTGTCCCCTGTGTGCGCCCTCTTCAGCTCCCTCGCGCACCGCCCTGATGCAGGAGCCGGAAGATGACATCATATTCCGGCTCCAGTATCCAGTAGCGAGGGAGCTGAAGAAGGAGCATACAGGGAAGAGTGCTCCCTCCTGTGCCTGCCAGCTTGCCCTCCCGGTGATACCAGGGCCAGCCTCGGGGGGCCCTGAGGTAGCTGGCTCCTGGGCCCCCCAGGAGAAGAGGCTGGCCACAGTGGGTACATACCGGGTCGTAGGGCGGCCGGGCCCCCTGATGGGCCAGGCCTGGTCGCAGCCACGACCCCGGTATGTACGCCACTGGCTAGACGCCTCAACACTGGACCCCACATCGCCACACCAAAGCGCCTCCCAACACCTGCCCATTAATACAAGAATAGACACACACACACTACCCGGGAGCCCCTAGACTGGGAGTCATCCATCCAGGAAAAGTAGACCCCACACCAACACATAGCTGTATGAGAGGCTAACCGGATACACCGAGCGGGAGCACACGCTCCAAACCCACACCCCCTCAACTGACAAAGCTCCCTAAGACCAACACCTCAGCTTAGGACAAACAGTCCACTAGCAAGGAAAAACTATAATCTTTGTTTACCATATATGCCTCACTGTATGCCTTGTTATACATTAGACTGTTATATAAGTAACCCGCACGTTAGACAGTGCATCTGACATGTTTGAAGAAAAATACTTGCATTTTTGATGTTCTAAAGTCATACAATGACATGTTCTTGATACCATGTGATTGAATAATAATGCACAACAAAATAAAGAATAAAAAAAAAAAAAGACATGCTGGTACAGACTGATCCAGTGAAGAGCTACACTAAAGCATCTACAGTCAGGTCCATAAATATTGGGACATCGACACAATTCTAATCTTTTTGGCTCTATACACCAACACAATGGGTTTGAAACAATGAAACAAACAAGATGTGCTTAAACTGCAGACTTTCAGCTTTAATTTGAGGGTATTTACTTCCAAATCAGGTGAACGGTGTAGGAATTACAACAGATTGA